AATTTTATATAATATTATAAATATAATATTAACGTTGAAGGCACGCCAGTTGCTACATATTTTCCACCAAGTGGAATAGTCTTTTCAATCATTTCGGAATCACATTAATTTACAGAATCTTTTTAAAAATTTTAACACGCAGCTTTTCCTCCCGAAAGCACTTCCATAAAAAACTATGTAACAACTTACAAAGACACTCTCGCGCATTTCGCAAATAGAAATTCCACAATGAAGGTACTAGAAAGCAAAGGGAAAGAACGTCGGTGGTTTAACACTTTAAATTGTTCACAGTAGTTGGGTTTACACACTACATGTTGTGTATATTCTTAAACATTGGTAAGAGTTGTAGTATTGATCCCTTATACTTTCTATTAATATATTATGTGATCATTCAGAAAAATAATAATTATACAATATATTCCCTCACACAAAATTTTTATCACAAACTCTAATTATGCTAAACATGTAGTTTAACTTAAAATTAACTAAATTAATATTCACCGACAAAAAACTCGCCTTGTGATAAATGAAACAACCAACATTACAATGGACGCAGTAGGATAAACCCACCCATCATAATAGGCCGCAGAAATATAAATATAAAAGTCATCCATAATAATCGAATAAAGCACAAAGTTCATATAGCGAGTTCGAAATTCAATCCCGGTCAGGAGTAGACCAACCCTGGTGGTGGATAGTAAATCATTAGGTGCGTGCCTTTCGACCCAGGACCTAAAACTCCTAAAATAAAAAAGACCACCGAGAATTATGTAGCTGCATATTACAAAAAGTAGACTGTTTTCATTGCCACCAGCTGGGCTAAAGATGCGTTGAGTAACGACGTACCAGGTGTATGGGAGAGAAGCAATCATGGTGGCGCTTCCTATTGTATTAATATATGTAGAGAGCCGTGGCAGATCTTCCTCAAAATCCAACCAGTGCTTATCTAACCAACTCTTGAAACCAAACATCACAAAACAGATACAGGAAATTATCCAGGTAGGGTACTTCAACCCGAAGTGACTGTAAGTCACGGATCCAAAAACTCCTAGCATGAATCCAAAGAAGCCAAGGTCTATTCGTGGGCGTAACACCACCCTGCAGACTTAGAATAAAAACAGCCATGCAGAACGCCGCACCAATGTTCCTCAAGGTATTATCATAAAATTTTTCAAAACAAATTGCTAGAATAAAGCAAGTGAAGTTCAGTGTTGAATTTGACGTGCAGCCCCACCTCCGAGAGAGGATTTCAAGTGTTTTACTCCAATAATAGGAAAATGTTAGCATGCTCAGGCAAATAGAGATGAAACATGCCGTGATTACTCCTGTTTTATCATATTTAAAACGTAACTCTAATCCTTGCAGAAAAAACGTTGTGGATAACAAGGCAAGTTTGCCGATCAGCTTGGCCTTCGGTTGACCCATTTCCGCATCACTGATGAGATGCATCTCAAGAGCTTCCGATGCATTTCTCATCTTACTGGCAATCCGATCCCGCACAACTCTCAACTTCGACAGCAAATACAGCATGAGATCTTCCCATGCATTACTCATCTTCTCTACAACCGGATCCAACAGAGGAATCATTGTTGACTGCCAATACAACAGGACAGCTTCCTGAATTTTGCTCATCACCCCAACAATCCAACCCCAAAGATGTCTTAGCACTTGATGATTCACCTTTTCTGTAATCGCATTGAACAGGAGCATTACTTGGGCGATATAAGGCACTGAGAATGATGGATAAAACACCAGAACCATCCGCATCAATATACTTCCATTTGAATCTAGCAAATCTCGCAATCGGGCCAAAGAAATTGCCATAGTCAATCGCACCGATTTCTTCTCTTACAATACAAATTAATTCCTGACAATCGTCTATTATATATATATATATATATATATATATGTAAAGAAAGAAAGGAACATTAACCGTACAAAGCACACACCAAGGGTAATTTGGAAATAGATGAGGCATTGTTCAGGGATTAACGTGTGAAGTGATGCCATGATAGCTATTTCTTCTGAGAAAAATGATTGAATCGTGATGTAGGCCTATTTAATTGTTAAATAACAGCTGATAGCTATTTCTTTTAAGAAAGGTAATTAAAGGACAATTTTTTTATTAAATTTTTGTACAATCTTAAATGTCATGTAATTATTGGTTCTTTTCACTCTTTTATGGCCATATGATTTACTTAATGAGATTTTGTCTATTTTAGAATCATTACAGCTATAACGTAAAGTTTATGAGCTAAATCACACAACGTGTTTGTTGAAGGGCTAATTGTCTTGAAGATAAATAGTTAAAGGGGTTTAGAGAGTTTATTCCCTTTCCGTTCCCTGATATCAATTTTTATTATCTATTTTTGTAAAGAATTTCCTAGAAAATACAAAAAATATATTTTGAAATTAATTTTTTGCAAATCAAATGAACCTTTAATGAAATATTGATACAATGATAAAAAATAATTTCTTATAAAAAAATCATTTTTAATCATTTCAATGGTAATTTTCTTTTGTTGAAGATAATAGATTTTAAATTCGAATTGCATAACATATAGATATAATAGATTAAGGGATTAAAAAGAATTATTTCTCATTGTATAATCTAAAATTAATATATATATATATCACATTAAATTACAAGATCTTTTATAAAAAAAAAGTTTATCAAACATCCTTTCTTCTCTAAAATTACTTTCATAAAAATTTTTGTCAAACTCTCTTTAATTTTTCGCAATCTGAACTTTTAGAATGGATTCTCTCATACAAATTTTCAGTTAAGTTACATAGTCTATACAAACTAGTGCAACTAGTTTTAATGCAGTTGATCATAGGTATTGAAGCCTTTTATTTTTTTTTTTTATGAGAATGTTATTGAAGTCTTCTTGTGTGGTATGTATGCATGAGGACTTCTCCCTCAGCCATACCTCTATGGGAGACAAAATATTTATAAAAAGATTCTATTAGGATGGATCTTAACAAGTCTTAAAATTACTTTGTCTTTTACGAAGACCTTAAACAATTCTTTTTGAAAATTCTAGGGTAAAGTTTAATAGAAATTCTTAATTTATTTTTCATATAATAGTATAAGGTAGGTCATCCTCTTAACAATTTTTTTGAAGGATTTGTTTAAAAATCTACCTTCTAATTAATATTTTTAAAAATTAATTATTGAATTGAAAGTTTTATTTATGTAAATCATGCATATCAATTTTCATATTAATCTAATATTTATAACATTTTGATTAAAGTAATTATATTTACTAATATATATTGAACAGTATTAAACTTCTTATAATTAACAAAGTAGTTAACCAACGAGGGGTTGGATCAAGTAGTAAGCGGTTTGTTCTAACTTAAGTAAGGTCTCGAGTTCGAGACCTTGTGTACGCAGTAGCTTTCGTTGGGAGACCTACCCACCATTCTGGTGCGTCACAGCTGGTCGAGTCCGAAGTAGTCGGGGTGAAGCCCCAGAGACCGGATGGGAAACCAAAAAAAAAAAAAACAAAGTGGTTAAACTTGCTAAATCAACATGAAAATTCATATATATAATTTATATAAATTGAACTTTCAATTTAATAGTTGATTTTTAAAAATTTAAATTAAAAAACAAATTTTTAGATATATCAAAAAAAAAAATTAAGATGACAACTTACAAAACACTTTTCCCTTTTCTTTATTTCAACCATCCTCATATTTCCTTCTACGTGTGAAGTAATAGCATGATAGCTATTTCTTCTAAGAAAAATGATTGAAGGTGATGTAGGCCTATTTTCTAGGGT